TGGAAACGAGCCTCAGCAGCTCGCTTCTCCTCCTCAGATTCACTTGTGTATTCCTCTTCTTCCTCCGGACAGCTAAGCAAAGACAAATACAGGTCAGGACAAATGTTTGCACAAGATAAAATCTGACACTGAGCTCTAAATATCCAATAAAATACCGGCGCACACACACCTTTCTACGGCCTCTTCAATGAGCCCCATCCAGGTGATTCGCTCCTCTTTGGATGACGTGTGGACTTCGTACATTTCTGGCCCGGCCGCCGAAGCGCTGATCAAAAACATGCCCCTCTCTTGGTTTGCCACTTCCCGAACTATTAACTTCTGCAGTGCAATGACTGGAGGCTTCTGGTCCTGAAGTGCATTAAAAGTGGGAAAATATATTGTCTTACTTGACGGGATAATGGCTGAGAGGCTGTAACAGCCTGACATGAGTTAGAACAGACGCAGTTTAGAATTTGTATGATTCATTGCTGTATGCGTACCACAGTGGCAAATGTGTATTTCTGGTCTTTTTCTTGCAGGAAGATGAGTGTGTCTGTGAGAAGCAGCGCCAGGACATCTGTCAGGGGATGCAGGAACACTGTTATATCTCCAGCATGGTCATTTATTTGCTTTGTGGTAAAAGATGGTAAAATAGCACATGAACAATATAACAAGACACAGTTTTCAGTGAACCGATGTTACCTTTAAGTCGCCCGGTGGCCGTCTTCCACAGCAGCACGCCCTTGTGTTTGAGTTCTTGTCCCGGTCTCATCATATCTTGCTTGCGGAAGGTGTGTCCGTTCTTCAGCTTGGCCGTGCTGCGATTCTCTATGCGGTTCCACACTTCTAGTAACCTCTGGTGCTGTTCATATTCACTGACCCTCAGGTCAACAGCTGCTATCACCTCTCGAATCTGAACCAGGGCTTTTGAAAGCTCTGCATGCTCCACGGTTTCCTCTGAGGGATGAAAAAATAAGAGGATTGAAAGAGTTCACTTGTAAAGTTTCATTTCTGTGACTCATTATTTTGTGCATTTTTTTTTTTTTTTGCAAACACTTGAGTTTAATGACGATGCAGCCAGCAGGGGGCAGCAGACGACTGACCTTGCGTATACTGTAGGATCCTCTCCAGCAGCACCGGGTACTTAGTAATCCTCTGCGTTACCAGCAAGATGCATGCTGGGATCTCCCTCCGTCGCACCAAAGAATTGCTGCCTTGTTGCTTTAAAAAGAGAGATCAAGAATCATGTTACATTTCTCCAAGCTGAGTGGCCGTGATGCTTCTGACTTTTAGGTTAAATACCTTAATGAAGCTCTGGAATCTCTTGTTATGCTGCTGGAGCTCCTTGAAAAAGCTGACCGCTTCATTATGACGAGTGCAGAATTCTCCGTAGACCTGCTTCATCTTTTCACCGTTCTCCTCCGAAAACTGCACAAAACACAGTTAAAGAATGACATCAGTCCTCGAATCCAGTCACCCCAAGAACCACAAGAAATCTCTGGGTGCTTCTTCACTGCAACATAAAGTCCTGCATCTCTATGCAAGCAGCACATCCATGGATAGAAGTAGAGAGAATTCAAAAATGTATTTTGTGTAGTATAGTAAAGTTAGAATGCCAGAAATCATAAAACAAATGAAAAACAAAGGCTGAATTTGATTTTTAATTTTTTTTATTTTACCCATTTTTCAAGTGCAAACAGGTGTTTGTAATTCTGCTTTAAAAAGTGGTGGCTCTATGCTACAGATATTTTACAACGTGCATTTTCTAATTTGTTTCCTTACTTGTCTTGTAGCTACTCTGTGATTACAAAGCCTGCAGGTCAGCTGAGTAGTCCGTTAAAGTTTGTTGCAGCTGAGTCAGTAAAGGCTTCAAAGTTGCACAGACAAGCGCAGAATTATTATTTTTTTTGTAGATTTGCATGCAATTGGTTTAGTTTTGGAGAATATCTAAATAAGACGCCTAGAATGAAGGGATTCTTATCAAATATCATGATTTTAAGATAAGACTTGGTTGAATTTTCAGAAGAAAGGGTATTTCAAAGAGGAAAGAGGGTTGATTCTTTCTGTTTCTACAGTTTCTGGCTCTGATAAATTATTTAATTTTAGTGATGGTTTAAGGACAACATGCTTTTCAGACCCAGCAGCAGGTTTTAGGGTTCAGGGGGTTAATTACACCCGAGACAAAGGGAGACGACCGGCTAACCTGTTGAAGCAACAAGTCTCCTATTCGCTGGATGAGGTAGTTCCTGTGTCCCTGGGGCTGCGCTGAGTTGTGCCGCCGTTCCTTCATGGCGGCGAAGAAGGCGTGGTGGAAGAGGAGCAGCTGGTCCAGACAGGGGAAGACCCGCTCCACAGCCTCAGTGTCCAGCTGCACCTCTTCTTTCATACCTCGCCGGAAAACCTCGGCCATGATGTGTAGAGTCTGCAGGTGGTGAAGCTCAGTCTGCATCAGCTCTGCATCACAGGTTCGACACGTAGACAGTAAATGAGTGTGAGTCACATAAAAAACATGCGCTAAATTCAGCCAAAAAAGCCATTACTCAATAGCAGCAATTAAAGAATTCTATGTGGTTACAGCAGTTTTAAATATGAGATACTGCCAGTTGCAGAAAATGACACATTCCAGTGGTCGTCTTTCACAACACTGACATCTGCTCACCATAGACAACATCCTGCCTCTTGACAGCTCGTTTGTCCTGCTTCTTGCAGAACTTGTGCTCCACCGTCAAACTCCACGACTCAGCCTGGTAATCTACAGAATCAGTTGAGATGTCACTGTGGATATACGAGTCCACAGAGTCTACGGAGAGAAAGATGCACAAAATTACATTAAATCAAACTGTGTTCATAGCATATTCTCTGTAAAGAGGCAGCACTTTCTACTTTCACCCCTTTAAATTTACTGCTTCTTCCCTGGGGCAAATTATATAAAGAAAATAATTATTTCAATACTGGTCACAAATGAAAACAAGCTTTACAAGAACATATACCACAGTTTGTGAGTAATTTATAGTATTCACAATTGCTCTAGCAATACTAAAACACAAATACAATGCTATTTAAGCCACATACTACCAACTGTAAATTCATGAATCTAACAGCACTTACTTTTAAAAAGCCACCCATGCTTACAAACTTCTAAAACTATCAGCAGTCTGTTTATTTACAGATTGCTGAGGGTGTGTTCTTCCACCTGTGTGGATTGTCTTGTATCTGCAAGTCTTTTCTCGGTCTCTGATCTAAATGTTGCATTCAAGTGCAGGTGGAAAACTCAGACCTTTGTTTTTTTTCCACCTCATGCTTGTGGAATGTCAAGGTAGGAAATGCATTGTTTCCAAAAACTTCCAACAGATCATTCTCCTTTTAATCAGACCTGACCTTTAAGCAAGTATTTTCAGATTGGAATATTCCAGTGTCGTGTGTGTGTGTGTTGTTTTTTGGGGGGGTTTTTTAACACCACGATTTACTCACAGATTGTCATAAAAATTCGAAAATGTTGCTTTTGTATAGATCATGAAACACTCATTTGTTACAACTATAAGTCCAGTTTCTCTCATTACAATTTTATATTTTAACAAGTCTCCTTGTATTTAATATTATAATGTGAACAAAAATGGGTTAATATATATACATGTTCTTTATTTCAATTTCATAACTCATATGATCACATTCACAGTTTTGCCTGCTGTTTACCCCTTGTTTTCCAGCTGCATCCAAATAGTTTATGGGTGAGTTAATAAAGTAAGATAAACTGGTAGAATGGTTTTTACAACGTTAATGAATAAGGTGTATAAACACTTGTGATTGTGAATGTGTTGAGAGATTCAGATCAATTCAGGTGGTATAAAAGTGACTGTTTCAGGGTTTCACCTTTGAAAAACTGCATCACTAGGCATTCTCAGTCCACATATGGTATGCATCTGATTGGTGCTGCTATTAATATTGTAGAAGTTATTTTTTTTTATAGTTTTCCTATAAATGTCCTCCAGTGTTTGGCCTAATAGTGACACAATTGGCTCCTCTGTGCAATTTTGGTGGAATACTTCTTCATGTCTGCCCAGAATATACTTAAATCACCAAAATATGTGGGTAGGTTTCCCAGTTTGTATACTACAGTTTCTCCAACATTTATGTGATTTGTGGCCCAAATTTTACCACTATTTCTGGTATCTAAAAAAACCCCAGACAATTACTTTCCATTTGAGGTCACTCGGTGTATTTGAGTTAGTTACTAGTTGTACAAAATTAGGCGCAATTTTGAAATAACTTTTTAAAAACTGATCAGCTTTCCAACTATGTCCTGTTTTGCAACCTGCAGCACTTAGAGGAAGTCTGATGCCTACTCAGCAGCTTGTTTGCATTTCCTATTCATTTTTTTCTTTTCTTTCCATGATTAGACACATTTCTCCAAAGATGATGTTGTAAACTGCCCCAATCAGCATATTCTCACTGCAGGAAACATGGTACGGTGTGGGTGCCTGAGGAAGTAAAATCCCTTTAAAAAATCAAGTCTGTTCATATACCCAAACCACAAGTCTTATTCATGTCATACCCTCTCCAAAGGATGAGTCGGTGGAGGTGGAGGACACCAGCGTGGACAGGAGCTCTTCTGATTGGCTGGTCGGCTTCGGAGCATCAGACTCTGTCTCTGAACTCTCACTGAGCCGACTGTATCATAGAGAAAACATGGAAAGACATTGTTACCCCAGTAAATTTAATGATACCGTCACATCATGTAACTAACTGATACATTCTGATAGCTTAGTGACCTGTCACTGTTGGGGACACTTCCAGAGAGAGAGCCCGGCTGTGTCACGGCGTCTTTCCTCTCCTTAGGGGTCATGACAGGTAGAGAGGTAGAAATGGGGATGACGGACTGAGGAGAACTATCTCTCACTGTGAAGTCTGAGGGGAAAAACAAAGAGCATTAACCTACGTGACAATAAACATCCCCGGTGTTACCACAGCGAAGCGAAAACAAACAGGAAATCTGTACAACATGATAAAAATCATTCGGTGACCGTTGACCTGCGTCTTGTAAACTCACTCTGTGGGAGGGATGCTGTTCTGTTCTTCACCATGGTCACGGCATATTTATCCTGAAGTTTCTAAGTAATACAAATGAGAGTGTCTGTTAGAGCACGTAAACAACAGACATGAGGAAAGGCTCCAGCGGACAAGACTCACCTTTAAACATGGGGGCAGCGATTCCTTACAGCCCTTATGAACAATGGCGGTGCAACCTGGGGAAGAAAGACACATTTTACAAGTTTTATTGCAAGAACTATGAATGCAAACTCCTTCAAAATGAACTTTTACTCACTGGAGCAATGCAGGAGGTCTTTTCCAGAGGCTGCTTTGTCACACACCACACACATTGTGGGGCCTAAACAGGAGCCTGTCGCAAAGCGGTGTCCATTCAGCTGCCTGTCCTTTGCTTCTCTGTCCTTCCCTTTCCCCTTTGAAAACCATGCCAGAGACATAGGCATTAAAAAAAGGCTACATACACTGAGACAAAACGTGATTGACAACTAGTTCTATGGACTTAATATAGGTCTCTATAAACCCGTATAAAAATCTTGGTAAAGTTTCTATTTGCAGAGTAAACTCTCCCGCATGTGAGCAGATAAATGAGCCTGAGAGGAATCCCCGCCTTTTTCCAAACCGTAAGAAAGACCACTGACACGGAAATGGAGCGAAGCGTAAACAACAGATGCAAGTCGGGGAGGGTTTCCAGTCTCTGTGCTGACTCAACAACAGGGGATTAATCATTAAAAGGAAAGAGGCTGGACACCATGTTTGGTCTGTCACTCCGACCTTGAGTTATTCCCAGAAACATTTCCTGGTTGTGTCTCCCAGAAGGCAGAAAGAGAGAGTCACGCATTTCATACCTGAGTCTAGACCCGGGGAATCTCAACCTTACAGATGTGTTTTAATATCCAATACCACAAATACTTTGTAAATACAGGAATGAAAAGCTAAAATCAAAGCCACCAGTACTCTACATGCACCACCACACCAGCAACCAGAGCACATATTTGGAAATGTTCCACACACTTTAAATCTGCAAAGCTGGCTTTAGTTTAGCCAGCTATTCCTTACATTTTAGTTTTGGTTTTTGATTAGTGTAACAGCTAAGGAGTGGACAGTTTTTATTTGCTTTGAGTTTACCTTGGTCTTGTTGCGTGTACTGGACATCCTGCTCTTGAGAAAACTGAAGGTGCGAATGACTTTGTACTTTTCCGACTCTGCCTTAGTTGGGATGTTGTATTTATCCAACTCCTCCTCTTCGATTCTGCAGGAATTTTAAAGAGATCAGTGCAATTCGATACCTTGGATTTTTTTGTTCTGCTCATTAACTTGATTCTCGGTTTGCAGACATGCATTAGTCACAGCATCCTAATTTTTCTTCTTGCTGAGTTAACAAGACAACAAAAACAAGCATGGCAGGCGTGTGGCTCCATACCACATGAACAGCTGTAGACGCTTTAAGTACACAAACATGAGTGATTCATGACGTACGTTGTAGTTAGTTCAAAATGCAACATGCTCATCCAGAAGTATGATTTCATCTGATGTTGCATAGCATGTTGTTTCTGGTCAAATGAATGTTAAAGAAGGCAAGTTAAATGTAAATCTGATCACAAAAAGTCTGAGTTAGTCTCTAAAATGCAGCTGTGGAACATGAAGACCAGACTGTGAAAATATTTCTATAGCAAGTAAAAGTCCTGCTTTCAAAACTGTACTTAAGTAAAAGCAAATTCTACTTTAGGTAACCAAACTGCTGCAGTAAAATGGTCCTTGTTGATGTTTTATTGTAATTTATGGTGCTTTTGGGTTAGTATTACTGCTGCATTAATGTTTATGTTGCATTTTACTGCTGTAGATGTTTCACGTTGAGCTAATTTTCGCTACTTTGCACACCGTTACATCATTTAATCTACAGCAATGCATCACATTCTGTAAGATCAACATATGTTTGTAGTATTACTGTCCTGGGAGCTTATCACAAGTTCAGAAAACAATTTATCTAGAAACAGCATAATTTCTCAACCTATACAAGAGCACTTCATCCTTTAGTAGATAGATAAAATAAATATTCAAAATTGCCACATCTGGTTTTCAATGGACAGAAAATGTATGAAAAACTGTAATCTGAAGAGTAACTAAAGTTGTAAATCGAATACAGTGGAGTAAAAGGTACACATCCTCTCAGATGTAGTGGAGGACAAGTGTGAAGTTGTATAACTTGGAAATACTTAAGTATATCAAATGCCTGACTAAATGCACTTAGTTACATTCCAGCACTGCTAAAGTGAGACAAAAAAACCTGTGTTCCTTCTCTGCTATTCTTTGCTGTGAAATCAAATGAAAATTAGTAGAACTGTTAGAGCCTAAAAAACATGCAAAATGACAAAGACTTTTGTTGCACATTGTTAAAAGACAAAAACAAGTTGACGACGGCTCTGCTGTTAGAGGAGAGGTGGTTTGTTGTCAGGAGGTGAACGTGCTGTAAGTCTGGTTTAAGGTTAGTTGGTTTGTACTGGATGGTTAAGGAAGCTAGATGGAGGTCAGTCCCCCCCCGACATACTCTTTGAGAAACTCAGACAGGGTGAGGTGATGGAGGGACTCTGCCAGCTCCATGCTGCCCTCGTCATCGGCAGACTGGGCTCGCTGACGGAACTTAATCTCCCTGTAAAGAACAGCGCACACACATGGACACGCACTAATGTTTTCGTGCTGATGAGAAGCCACAAAGGTCAAGGAGACAAAGTGAACGTAAAGATGCAAGTCTGCTTGTTCACTTCACATACAACTAAACAAACACCAAGCACTCAGCTCAGTCAATTGGATATAATAAGAAAAACTGCTTGGTGTTACGGTCTTTTAGCCCAGAGTGTTTCTGGCTTCTTCCACTAGGGGGAACCACTGGGATGTGACAGTTCAATTAGGGAATATATATCTGTGATAAAAGTGGCTTAGAAATACAGTGTGGCTTCATCTCTAATGAACGGAACAGAAAGCGAAAACAACACACTCGCCACTTCTCTTAGAGCCAGACAGAACCTGTGTGAAATTTCAACAACGGCACTTTTTTTCATCTACAACACGCACAGTTTTAACATCCAACCGTGATGAGGCTGAAAATGAGCTACACAGTGGCACAAATCACACAGTAAACCACTGATGAAAGACGGAGCAAAAGCCCGCTGCAAAGCTCAAAACAATAAAGTGGAAGAGGATCAGGGTCATATTGATATCTGTACGTCACTACCTCTGTTGTCCCTAGAAAAAAAAAAAGCAAGGATCAAAACACCAGTAACACCAATAAAAACAGCCCTGCATCACAAGGACTCGTAAAAAAAAAAAAAAAACACAGCAAACTTCACAGAGTGACCGCCGTCACCCAGCAACCTGATCGTCATGGTTACCCACATATGTTTCCTTTGGGGCTGGCGATCACATATTCAACGAAACGTACTGTGATTATAATTAAGAGCAAATGGCTGAATCATTTAGCAGGAGGAAATACCGGAATTCAAATGATACAAAAAAAAAGACATCTGGAATAAAATTCAATCCGAATGAGAGCCGAGTAAATCAAATATAAAGTATAAAATACCTTTTCTCGTGTGGCTGATCTGATATACTGGTGGCTCTTTGCTCTGCGAACATAAAGAGCAGAAAGAAGTAGTTAAAGTAATGGTTCAAAAGCAACAGGAAAAGCACGTAAACATGCATAAACATCAAAGTACGACACCTTCTGAGATCAGGACAGGCAGCAGAAAGTGAAAAAGACAAAATTTGCAGGCTTCGTTCTTAATTTGAGACAGTTTCAGAGAGAATATGAAAAAGGCTGTCAGGTTTCATTTACATGCCAGAGGAGCTGTTTGCTGTCTGAATACAAACACAATTGATATGCAAAGTGACACAGATGATGCTCGGCTACTTGATCAGAACAGGACGACACACACAGGAAGCACAGACAGACATGAAACGCTGACCCACCGCAGACTCCTCGCATGTCTCACCAGCCTGTAAAAGCAGTTATTTTCCATTTCATTGCTTCAAATCTGAAGTCTTGTTGCGTTCCCACTGCCAGTCAGATTACAATAAACTGAGTCATGATTCAGAAAGCCATTCACAAGGTTCGTCAAGGCTATTACTGCTTTGCGATTCTCATTTAGTTCTCACTTCAAGAGTTTCAATTCTTCTTTCTAGTTCCCAATAATTTCTAATTTTGGTTCAGCTTTTGATGGTTTGTATACGGCACAACCTACAGTATTCTCACTTTCTCACACGTAGTTTGTGCCCGTCGATAGAGTTGAACAAATGCACACAAACTTGAAAGGAAGCCGGCATTTATGATATTAATTATCGTTTTCGTTGTTTAGGATCTTGTTCCTTTTGCAGCAGCTCGGCAAAACACCTGAATTCACATAAGGTCTGGCTATTATAGTATAAGAAAAACTGACAAATGGATCTTACATCAAAGAAAAAAAGCCAGTTTTCCCATTTTTTAATATTTATGCACAGTGGAAAAATACAAACAAATTAAGAGCCTGTTCTATTGCTTTTGGTTTAAAACAGGAATATAAAAAGTGATTATACCAAACCAAGAACGAGTTGTTTCAGTTGGGGTACTGAAATAGAATCAATTTTTCAAAAGAAAATGAGAAAACAAGCCCATTTTCTGTTTTTCTTTTTCACATTTGTCCCATTTCCCCCGTGTTCACTAACACTAAAAACCATACATAACAAAGTGGAACCACGGCTTACTTCATGGTTTGGAGAAATTCCATTTTTATTGTTTTTGTTTTTAAACAAGTAATAAAACAGTGAAAACTATCCCACTTCCTGATTTTTTATTTTAAACCAACAAAACTGGGAGTTTTCTTTCTTCTAAACGTCCATTAGCACTAAAAATCAAAAGTGACAAAGTGGAAACCACAGTTTGTTTTCGGTTTGGTATAATCCCATTTTTGATTTTTCCACTTTGAACCGGCCTGTTGTTCTTGTTCTTGGTATTTGACAGAAACACAGATGGTACGACAGTAACCACACCATGAGCCTCGGTGCTAACAGCTGCTTATTTACACATCCAGCAGAACATTCGCACTTATTTACAATGTGTTTCCAGCTACTCGATTAACATAAGTACGTTATTCAGCCTCACTTTAGATCTGTTGTCATCCCCTAAATGCTCCCTCATGTTCACCAGTTCGCTGCAAACTTAGTGTGTGGTGCTGGTCAGGTAGCACACAGTCTGTTTATCAAAGCCTTTTTCTGTGGCAAAAGCTGCCTGTGAGCGAAAATTAAGCCGATGAAAGAGGCGAGAGTGAACCACAACATCAAAGTGGCCGGCGGCAACACCAAAACAATGAGCCCAAATGTGCTATAAAGCTCCAAAGTGCTGACGGGAACTGCGGCTTGGTGCGTCTCCATCACTATGAGCAACAAGTTTTCATCTTACGTATAATCATGCACTGATTTTTGAACATTTGAATCAGTTTACAGTAACAACCTTGACTCCCTCCAGCACACACAGACACATGGACAGAGACGGCGGTGGCGGCGCTGAGCTGGGCCTCAGCACAGTGTGGTGGCTGCAGGCGTCCAGTACTTACTACCAGGGTGGAGCAGAGACAGAGATTTAGACAGAGAGAGGGCCTGAAGGAGAGATCGGCTGTGGCTGACACTGTGGAGGACGGCATCTACGGGGCACAGTGGACAGAGGGCTGCTCACACATCAGCTACACAGGCTGCAAACTACCCCCACGTACAGTCGACTCCAAGCTCACAGCTGTTAGGTGGCTGTTTAACTGCTGTTTCATTACTGCCAATTTAAGCATGAAAAATGACATAAATGAAAATTAGAAAATACAATTTTGAAGAAAAAGGCTAAAGGGATACTTCATATTTTTGGAAAATGTGCTTACTTGCTTTCCTAGTTGATCCCAATCTCATGCCTATCCTTTAATGCCGAACCCCAAGTCATTTGTGGGCATTTTTGGACCCTGAGCCATTTTTCCTCACTGTGGGTTAAATTTTCACCACAATATAAAGTCCTATGTCTCTACAGAAGCAGCACAACCATGGCTAGAAGTAAAGAGAACTCAAAAATGTCTTCTTTGTTGTATGGCACAGTTACAATGCCATAAAAAACGAAAAGAAAAAAAAGAAGTGAATAAACACAGCCTGCAGTTCAACCAAGTAGCGCCATAAAGTCAGAGCTGAACATCGAGGAGCAAAGAATTATTTTTTTCTTTACAGTCTTGTTAGCTGTTGTTGCAAATTATTTATTTTGACAAACTTTTAAATGACACATGTCTATAGAATAAACCAAGTTTGATGCAATGTTAGGATTTGAAGCTTTGATGTAGCTGATTTTCCAGAAGGAACGGCACGCCACAGATTATTAGTTCAAAGATGGTTCAAATCCTAAAAATCTGATGATTCTCTCCATTTTTTTCTGCTTTTGACTGATAAATGGTGTTATTGGGTTGTTTTTAAAAAAAAAAAAAAAAAGATAATATGCTTTTTAAACCTGCTGGCAGGGTTTGGGGTTCAGAGGGTTAATATGAAGCTCGAGACAGCAGTCAGTTAGCATAGGTTAGCATTAAGACAGCTAACAGCTAGCCTGACCCTGTCTACAGTGGACTAAACAAATGTAATAAATGTTATTATCTTTAACAAAATAAAATTGCAGAGATAATTCAATTCTCCCCAGTCAAAGGTTTAACAGTGTAACTACGATGTCAAACTTACATCACTGATTTCTGTAATTTGATTTCCGCATAGTGAAAGTCAGCTAATAAATGTGAAAGTGGCTTGCCATAGTTGTGTGCCAGGGTACATCTTGATTAGTTTTGGAGAACACGCTGTACTGACAGGAATCCAGGAAAACCTGTTCCTGGCCATAAAAGTGTCCATCACAGTTGTGCACAGATATAACATACTAATTTGTGAGCGTCATGGCAGGAGTAGGAGGATTTGATTTCAGCACATTTGGATAGTTCCCTTAATGTCAAACTACAGCTTTAAGGAACATGTACTTGGAGTTGACTGTACATTGTTAGTGTTGATCTATTAGATTAAAATTAGCAGGACATAAAATCAGCTCCAACATTGTTATGCAACCCCGTTAGTGAAAGACAAAACTGGTGACGTTAGTTGGAACCATTGTTAGTTATGTGTTAGACTGAGTTTCTAACTACATGTGACGGTACAAACCAGGGCTGATGTCTGAGGTGCGGCTGTCCCGAGCAAGACGAGCTGGACGCAAGCTGATTTTGGAGGACGAGTAGGAATAGGAGCGCAATCGAATCCCCTGGTCACCCAGTTCCTACAAGAGAAAGAAATAATAAAGAGCATAAACACAAGGCTTTAAACAATGTTTCTCGTAACATAAGGGGGAGAGGAAGTATTCTAAAAAGAAGATTTTACATTTGAGATGGGTTCACATGCCGAGGCAGACTGGCTGCGAGTGCAAGTAAGATCAGGAGAGGGACGAAAGATTTCCCTTTTGTCTTCGCTTTTCTCAACGTCTGATGACAGCGGGGACAGAAGACACTTTGGCTCGGTGCGGTCTTCTTCGCTGTCTACTTCCAGAGCCACCAGACTGGGACTGGAGTGATAAATGACCAGTTAGTTTTACACACAGTCACACTGGTACATCTGAGAGACTCAATACAATAAGCAATACCTGAGGTCGCAGGTGTCCATCGGCGGACTGTCCCTCTGATCGATCAGCTCAGAGGAGGCGGGACGGGTGAGCCTGGTGAGGGCCTGGATGACGGGGGAGAGCGGGGGAGAGCCGGTCACAGAGGGAGAGTAGTCTTCTGAATACGGTGGAGGAGTGTCGGTGGCCAGAAGTAGATCCTCTGAGTCCACCGTGTCCCATAAACCACCATCCGTCCCTGTGCTGTCACTTGTCACTCCGCTGACACCGTATTTACCATCATCGCCCTGAGGTGACAATAAACGACAGAAGAAGATGAAATTAAGCAATAAATCGAACCAGTAAAAGAGCAAAGGCGATGATTCTAGATTCAAAGAGACAAGATGATGTCCGACCTGGGTCTGCTGTGTGATGCTCTGATCGCTGCTGTTGTTCATGGAGAGAGGAGGGTCTGCAGCCGGCTGGGTGAACTGGCTCTGGCCCCCACTGGACTGCATCGGATGCTCATTTACTGTGATAAACACAAAGTACAATCTCAGAATAGCTTCACCGTGGTTTATAATAATTCAAACAGACTGCTTCTCCTTGTCTCCATCCCACTACATTTTCCTAGTTAAGACCAACTCTTACATTCTTGTTTTTCTGCTGCTGAATGATTTACAGTCACAGTGCAGAACGAGAAGCCACTTTTGATTACCATAATTCATCCCAACATCAGCCAGACACTTAAATGTCTGGTAAGGAGAGCAGCTTTCAGAGTAGAATAATCAGACAGCTTATCCAGACAACAGATTTCAAAATATACACATCTAAAAAACATATCAAGATAACTTCACAGGGATGTGCCAGGAAATTGAAAACAGATTACCAAACATGTCATAATACGGACTGTTGAGTCATATTTACACCGCCTCTTCTGCCTTCTCTCCAGCTTTATTTTGGTAATTTGGGATAATTTTTCACCATAGTCCATTCATCTTTCATGGCTTAAATGTCGAGGCTTAGAGTGAAGAAAGGAAAATGTGATGAGATACTGCATACCTACTCCTGTCTGACCTTTTAAAGGACTGTTTTCATAGAAACTTCCACATATCATGCTTACAGCGGGCTGTCTGTTTTCTGGGAAAAAGCGGATTATTGACTTGTATTGAGTCATGCTCTCTTTCATGTGCTACATCTGCTCAGTGTTTGTGTACATTGTATTTATAGGCAAGACTCACATGAAGGCATCACGGTGACGCTGGGCGGTGGGTGTGTCTTTTAGGGGCTGTTTGATTATCAGCGGTGGGTTTATGGGATTCCAGTTCTCTGTATTGTTTTTTTTTTGTTGTTGTTTTTTAAGCAATTCTTTAAAGTGCTTTTTTCAGGGCTTATAATGATAATCAGTATAATCATGTGGACTGATAAACCATACTTTGGATGGAAAATTAGGAATAAAAATTCCAACACAAAACGTCCTTGAATTGCCTGGATATTTATAATTTACATATTTTTACCCTCAGAACTACAAAACCAACCATCAGGTTGGAAGGGCATGTTATCAATAATAATAATAATAATAATAGATCAAACTCTGTAAAAATAATAATAAATAAATAATAATAATAATAATAATAATAATAATAGCACCTCTTTACACAACTGTAAAGTTATTTCTGCCTCAGTGGTTGCCAACAGTACCACAAATATGCAGATGCATAAAATAATAATAGAAATAAACTTTTTTTATGATTAATGGCATTGTAACGTCAGAATGCTGCACAAAAGACATGTTTGAAGTCTCTACGTCTACCAGTGGTTGTGCTGTTTCCACAGAGGTGCAGAACTTTACATCACAAAAATGCAAAAAATTGTGAAAAATGAGCCCACAGCGAATGAGTAAAAACGTGACAGGAGCATCGAAACGCCCAGAAACGTAGAGTTCAGAGGGGTTAATTAAAAGAGAACTTTTGGATATTAATCCTTTAGTGGTGAATGTCTTTTACTCGTAGCATGTAACCGAACAGACAGAGAACGACGATTCCATCAGAGCCCAATAATCAGCTGAACCCCATTTTAAAGTAACAACAGCTGACAAATGCATTGAAAGTTCCCTCTGAAATGCCTCAAACCAACACAAAGTATAATAAAGTCAGACTAACTCAGAAATGGGCCCAAACTACAGAGCGTGACTAAAGTAAATGTGTACAGTACATGGACACAATTATTTGTGCCTCTGCTGCATATCTACAGGAGTGGTGGACGGTTTTTCTTCTATAACAATGTGGAAAATTGCCTCCCTTGCCTCCCCTTCCCACCCAGGCTTTGATGTCTGGACCAGCCATGGCTGCACTAATGTGAGGGAAATCCTGGGCATCACAGAGGCATTTCCTCTTTGCTGCTCTCACACAGCGAAGACATTAACACGGAGCTCAAACATACACAACTGACTGCTTATATCCATTCACGGCTTTTATCTTGTTTTCTCTATACGTCTCTGCCTTCCTGCTTTGCTCAAATTAAACTGTATACACAGACATAAAAAAATCCCCCCATGCATTTGATTTAAAGGATGGTGACAGATTGAAGCAGCACCAGTCTCGGCTGGCGGACTTATCGTCACACTAGTGAGCTCCAACAACCACCGACTGCAGCTGAGCTATGTCCATGAAACCAGAGAAACCAGTACGATCATTTCAGCAGATTTGGAAAAAACAATAACTCTGGATGACAATTTTGCACCACAGTGGCCTCGAGGCGCTGTCATCACAACAAATATGCGTTCGGTTCCCCAGCCAGTTTGATAGCTTGAGCAATACAGAAGAAATCTGCAGTCTGCTTTAGTGGCAAACCCTGGGATCAATGGCCATGTGGTTTCACTCAGCACGACTTCACAAAGACACATTATCATACACACACTTCACTTTATGGATACAACGTTTACAGGCTCCACTCGGTGCCACCGGAGTCTCTCCAGAGTTTACAACAAACTCCCCATTCTTCCACGACAACACACAGGAAATTAGCATTCACAGTAACCATGGCAACACCTGAAACATGTGCGCATCCTCCTTAAAGTTTTTTTTTTTTTTTTACTATCCAGCGAGTGTTTGCACTTGCTAAGCTTAAACACTCCCACAATCTTGTGTGCATGTGGCGTGTTTTAAAAGGAACCCAAGGTTAATGCATGTGTCTCGTCTAAAATGTCAGCTTTTGTAAGCGCAGGACATTTTAGCTTGTTAACATTCCACCTCTTTGCTTCAAGTACACAGATCCACTGTCCGACCCAGGGAGAGCCACCGGGGGAGGGGATGGCAGCGCGACAAGCCAGAGGGGGGCATCTCCCAGCTCAGACAGCGTTTGAGTGGGACAAGGCTGACCCCATTCCTGTCTTTGTCCCGGTGACAGGGCAGATTCCTGGACTGAGTCAGTGTGGAGGCTCTGCCCACTATCGGCGCTGCCCAACGACAGACTCAGGGAGGATAATATATCCATTTAATGAAAGAAAACAGCCACTGCACCTCAGACAGACAGAGCAACCCTGACTGTGAGGCAGCAGCTGTATTGATTTCCAATAATGTGATTCAAAACAGAGCTTTCTGTGTATTCATTGTGCCTGAACCTCAAGAGGAACGATTGCAGTCAGGGCTTCTAAACCAGCTTATTATGTGTTGTTCCCACACCCTGCTGTACAGTGCAGCCACAAATATGTTGTTGTGTTTTTTTATGGATTACCCATTCATCATTTAAACCAGATGCCACAGTATTATTGCCATAATATTAAAATGGATATAGTGTTTTGGTCTGGATAAGTACAAACCATTGTGTAGAAAAGAGAAGAGAAGAGAAGAGAAGAGAAGAGAAGAGAAGAGAAGAGAATTACCAGATAATGATGATGGGTACTCTTCTTCATCTTCGTCGTCATCCAAAGACAGAACAAGCTGTTCCTCAAAAACCTTTAAACAAACCAGACAAAAAACACACACAATGCAGACATGCCTCTTAGGAAAATCGAGCATGTTTACTTGACAACAACACAGACACACGCACTGTTGCATGCAAAATCCAGGAACGAAGTCAAGTAGCAAAATCCATAAACATTTACAGCACGCAACACTCTCTGTACCGCAGACACCACATAGGTCTGGATGTATACTCACATTGTCCACCAGAACATGCTCCTCCACGTGGAGCTCCTTGCTGACGCCTGTGCGAAAGAAAAATACTTCACTAAAAGTTGATGCACGACACGCTAACACTCTCCTCCTCCTCCAAAGGAGAGTCATGTGGACGGCACCACATCAGGTTCTCTGGATGCAGCTCTGCTATCCAGGAACGGAAAACCAACCAATGAGATGTTGTGCTCGTCCAAACCAGCGGGTCCAGTGAAAAAGCACACGCTGCCCACTGCGAGGCTGTTATTTCGAGTGGATTAATGGACGGCTGCGACAGGGTTAAGGTCAATACTGAGGTACACTTCCTGTTTGCCTTTATGAGTCGATAGTGCCATCTGCCATCTCTATGGTTACCATAAGGGTGGCGACGGGCTAATTGAGACAGAGAGACAGACTAAAAAATTAGCAGCAGGATCTGAAAAGATCTTTCTCTGTGTGTGGTTGCATGCCAGTCTGAGCATGTCACTCCAGGAAAAAAAATAAAATCTGCTCCTTAAGTTTTCTCTCAAAAGAAGAACAAACACACATGTAGGAAAGAGTGCGCCTTTTATGGTGTCTGTTGAAAGTGTTTTTCTAGTCTCTTTAGGTTGCAAGTGATGGATGTCTGACCATACCAGTGTTTGCTCAAGTGAATCTGTGGTTGCTCATTTTCCACTGCTCCACAGTGAAGTCTCTGGACTCGCATACCGCCACACAATGACAACACACATGAGCTGTTTGTGCATGCACGGACCAGTACGATGGCAGTGCTGAGGCTGCGGCTAATGATTATTTGTATGATTGCAAAATCCTTTGATTATTATGTTCGACAAATTAAATAATTATTTAGTCTCCAGTGTCAGAAAATACTGTCCTGAAAAACATATTCCCAGAGCACGAGGTGAAGTCTTTAAACTGCTCGTTGAGTCTGAGAAAACAATCCAAAGTCAAAATAAATTCAGACCTCAGTGCAACAGAGCAGCAAACTGATTCACAAATTAATAAAGAGATAACTGTTTAATCTTGTTTATTTATTAGTTAATATTCTGTCAGTCAGCAACTTTGTCAGCAGTATTTACTACATAATCTTTAGTTCTGAAGTCACTGTGTGTGTGTCTGTGTTCATTTACATGTGCGTCTGGTTTTGTTTTTCACAGCTCGTGTTACACAGCTGGAGCATCCATGTGACAGGTACCATGTGGCACTTTAGTGACAAACACAGATGATGCACGTGTCTGGACTGAGCTCATCCATCTCTTATGTAATAGTATCATGGATAAACAGACACTTGATTACAACTGATCACAAATATTTACTTAAAACGTATTTAAATGTGTCCTGTGTCAGGTATGTTTGTCATTATCAGTCATTTTAGTCTGACTGTTTTGATGAAGCACTGCACTTTTTCACCAACAAACCTCATTTTCAAATGTCTCTGATTAGGTCTAAAGAGAATAAATGGCTGTTGGGAACATGAATTCAATACTCCAATACTACATACTAGACAAACTTTCATTCAAAAAGTCACCTTACCTCAGTATATCTAACATGTCTCCACTGACCTGGCTAAGGAATTAAGTGAAGATTGATAGAAGGACTTTCTGAAACTATTTATACCTCGTCTCTGTGTGTTCAACATGGCCTGATATATTTGAAGTTGATCTCAAGAGCCCACCTCACCAACACAAGACTGGCAGACATAGCAGCATATACTAAGGCAGGCCCCCATTGCCTTCCATGTAAAAAAACAACCTGCAGACTATACACATATGTTTTGGCCTGGTCCCAAAATCTCTGCATTCCAGACAACTGTTTTTGACGCCTACACAAAATGTTTTTTTAAAAACACTTTCTCTCCCAACCTTTTGTGTGCCATATTTGGAGTTTTGCCAGAACCCTGTCCCTTGAGGCGAAGCTCAAGAAGCCATAGCCTTCACATCTTTAATTGCTACAAGGATAATCTTGCTCTGTTTGTCTGTTTCCACCAAGCTTCAGTCGCTTGTTAAGAAACACTCTGTATTTCCTAAAGGTCCCATATGATGAAAATCAATTTTTATAGTGTTTCGTGTTTTAATACACCACTGCCATTACTTTAGCCCCGATAAAACTAAACAGCTTTACAGGTCGGTCAGGATTTTGTTCAGTTGGAAAGCAGGAACTGAGGAACCAGTACTCATCCAGCTCAAACTTTGTAGAATCCTGCCTTCTACCTGCACACTGCTTCATAGTGAACCAATCAACAGCTACCTCATAGTCCACCAGGTTTGTTTACTGCCCAGAGCTGCTTCTGCCAACCATAAAATCTCTCAGTCGCAAGTATAGTTCACCAATTGTTCTGCTACTGGCTGCAAGAGCGAACACAACAGCATTCGTACACTCCCAGCATCTGAGGGACTAAAGATCCTGTGGATTACTTCTACGATTGATGGCAATGTCATCACGACAACAGGAAAATCCTTAGTGTTAGCACGCTGGGCAGGTAACGCTACAATTAGCTTTCATTGTATACCCACAGGTCAACGCTTTGTGTCTTGTAAAGCTTAGGGGCAATTACAGGTGGTGGAAACTCTAAGAGTAAGTATTGGATTACAGTGTTTTCATGCAACACGTTGTGCTTCAGTGCAAGATAAGCTCAGCCAGTGTTTACATCCGTTTGCTTCTCTTCTGCTCTCTGTGCTCACATAAACGGCATTGTATTACAGCCAAAGTCCCAATAAAGCTGCTATCATTTACATATTTTTTGTTTCTCTTGTCAGACAACGGAGCAAGTAGGAAACAGTGAATGAAACACTGCCCATTAAGAGCAAATGTGAACCAGCCGTCATCTGGTTCCACATGCAGAGTTAACAACTCTTGTACTCTTGGAATTTGTAGTGAACAGATACAACCAGATTCAAAATGAGATGGGAAAAATTCCAAATAGTAGTTGAATAGTGTGTGTTAATCCATATTTGTGCATATCTGCTGACACTTTGTGATGTAAAAAACCTATGAAGGACTTGTTAAAGAAAAAAATAGATCACCTTACCTTTATCACTCAGAAGGCCTTCATCTTCTCGCTTGTCTACCTCAGTATCAGCTCTGAGCACATTGATCTTGAACAAAAACATGTTTGAATTTGTTAAAAGTGTCACATTAAAAATGATACAAAGAAACATGAGATGACAGTCGTATGCAATCACCGACCAACAATATAGTGTAAATAATAGGATGAAACATTTCAAATAATCATGCAAGGTCATGCTAACACCACTAAAACCTGACCTGTCTTTCATCTTCACGTCACCCCCTCATGTCCTGTGATTTACTAACTGCATTTGCTGCAGCAGTATGTTGCCTGTTACCTGCTCAATTCCTAACAAACTGTAGAAGAGTGCGAGAGTACAAGGCTTTGTGTTTATACAAGTCCAAACAACACCCATGTAAAAGACCTGATATTACAAAATCATGACGAGAACATTCAGTAGCCATGTCTGTCCTATGTCCAACTATAGATGTGGTCACAGCAATGGTTTTAAATCAAGGTGTTCCCTGTGCTTTGATCTCACCAGCTTGAGGACACTGTGGTCTCCTAGTCTTTCTCGCAGGACCATGATGCTGTCCTCAGGGAAGCCACCAGGAGTCTGGAGCAGAGTGAGGGTCAGGGAGTCCGTCCCAGGACAAAACCTTAGCACGGAGGAGCTGTCGGACCAAACACAGCGCACACCGGGAACAGGGCCGACTCCAGCACCTGGAGGACTGGTGAGGAAAGACAGGAGCAAAGGTGAAAAGAGCATAAAGGAGCCTCCGCTGTGAATCAACCTTATCAAAAGTCATCATTAGTCATCATGTGCTACTGTTGGTATATCATTTGTATGCTTTGTTTCCACAAACATGTTCTCAAGCTCTATTTGTGCAGCTTTATCACTGCAGCAGGAAAAACCAAAAGGTTGATCCAGCATCACACAGATGTTTTACGTTCGATGCTTGAGCACACTGTGTACATTTCAGCCCGTGTTAGGCTATTCTACTTGCAGCTAATGTTACCTTCAAATGGCAGCTGTCACATTTTGAAATACGACCTTTTTCCACACCTGGAGCAACTTTACTGTGCAGTCTATAAACACTGGCTTTTCTTTTGCTGCTTGAGTGGATTTCAGTTGCTGCCTATAAGCAAACAAGGATTTAGCTGTGAGTCTAATGTTTTTCTTTTACTGGTTGAGTAGCATGTTTAAATCTGTTTTTTTTTTTTACCAATGGAAAATACCGGATTAACTTGTGAGAAAGGGTTCTGATCAGTTCATAAGATTAAAATGTTTAATGTTTGCATGTGTGGTCATGTGCAGAATTTACTGCGTGGAGAATACAAATAGTGGCCTTTTTATTTTTAATAATAATATTTAAGCCATGGCCAACAGGATGTTGGGCCTTGTGTTGTTTCTGGTAGATTATTTATATAATGAGCAACTAATGTGCATCAGTTTTACTTGCAGTAAAACTAAAAGGCTCCAGAAAGCCTTTAAACTCCATAAACAGTATCAGAAATTCCCTTTAATCTGGCTCCAGGAAGCAGTTTTGTCAAAGTATCTGAAGGAGAACGGATTACTTTATGAATGCCCCTACGTATTACAGAAATCCTCTCTCCAATAAGAGCTCACCGTGTTTTAGGATTGGACAACAGATAAAATCAAAGACTTACGCTGCCAGCACCCTAAACATGTCATGCTGTCCGTCCTTCTGGGCCAGCTGGAGCGGTGTGTCTCCGTCCTCGTTGGGTAAAGTCAACGTCCTTTGGCCTCTCGGTTGGTGAGTTAAGAAACGTGCGAGGTGGACCAAACCCAAACGCACTGCAAGGTGAAGGAGGGTTTCTTTGGGATGGGGTTCAGCAGCTAAAGAGAAACAAACAATGAAGAAAGAGGGAATTAGATGCATTAAGGCTGCAACTACCCATTATTTCCATTGTTGATTATTTTTTTCTATTAATCAATCAGTTGTTTAGGTTACAAAATCCAAGACAGTGCCCTATAAAATCTGTTTTTATTAACTCTCTGAACCCTAAGCAGCTTTAGAGCATCACATTTTTAGTCTGTGGGCCCATTTTTCACTGCAATATAAAGTCCTGTACCTCTTTGGACAGCACAACCATGGCTAGAAATAAAGAAAACTCAAAAATGTCTTCTGTGCAGTATGACCGTTATTTTGCCACAAATCATTAAAAAAAATTTTTTAAAGTTGAATTTCTTTGATTATTTAATATTAATTGATAAAAACGTGGACTCAACATGTATGATATTTTGTCAAGTGACTACAGATGTTACCAGTACTGGGAAAACATGGTGAGTCCACGTACTATAAACGTTTTATGATTTACATTTTTGATTTGTTTCCATACTTGAGTCTCCTATTTGCTTTGTGTAAACACAGCCTGCACAGAACTTTTAGTCACTACTGGATTCACAGTTTTTACTTTTAACAGAATGTGGCCAAAGCAACTGATTAATTTTTGCCAAACTATTAAATGAGACATGTAGTATAGAAAAAGGGTTTCGGATGAAATTTTAGAATTTTAAACGAAGATTTGGTAAAGTTTCCCAACAGAACGCCGTGTCACAAATGAGAAGTTCAAAGACCGTCAACAAGTTAAAAATCCAATTATTCATTTATGTTAAAACTGTTCCAGACAAATGGTGTAATTTGGCGTTTTTTAAAAAAAGAAATAAATAAAAAATAACATTCCTTTTAAACCCACTGGCAGGTTTTAGAATAAAGATGGCAAAAAAAATTGTTAAACCACTTAATCGATTGTTAAAATAGTTGACAAATAACAGAATAAATGTTGCAAACATACAAAAACATACAGAAAGCTGTGTGTTGCCTAAAAATAATGAAATGTTAAACTAGTGTACATTAAGTTTTAACATTAGATATTAGTTTATTGATAAGTAATAAGAAATTGCAGGTCAGAACTTCCAAAACAAGGTTGAGGTAGAAAACTGCCACTGTTACACAGTTTGTCCAGACTGAACTGACAAAATTAGGTTTTCAACTGTAAATAAACTGTAAAATAACTTGTTTAGTGCGTCTTCTCTATCAAAATTGCCCTTTATGCAATATGTTAATGTAAAAAAAATAATTTCACTTGATTTATTGTTGGGCTGCAAGGTGACTCGGTGGTTAGCACCGTTGCCTTGCAGAAAGAGAGTCGCCAGTTCGCATCCTGGTGAGGACACCCGGGATCTTTCTGCGTGGAGTTTGAATGTTCTCCCCGTGCAGCGTGGGTTCTCTCCAGTTCTCTGACTTCCTCCCGTACAGTCCAAAAACATGTTGAGGTTAATTGGTGATTCTAAATTGTCCGTAGGTGTGAATGTGAGTGTGCTTGGTTGTCTGTCTCTGTCCCCTGCCTTCACCCTGAGTCAGCTGGGATAGACTCCAGCTCCCCACGACCCCAGTGAGGATTAAGCGGTGTATAGATAATGGACGGATGGATGATTTATTGTTACTGAAAAACTCCCAACTATCAATATCAGCTCCGGCCTTCTATATTACACTTTGGCTATGTAAACCTTCAACCTCCCAATGTGCAGATGTTCAAATCAGCGACTGTGTATTCATGGAATGTGTGGCATGTTCACACTGTGCAGATGAAGGAATGGCTGACTCTGAGTTATGTAAAGTTTGCAGAATATCAACAGTATTACGATGTAGAAGAACTGGATGTTTCACTGTTCAAACACCTGCTGCCTCTGAAACAGTTGCTGCCAACTGCCCCGTGTTCACCGAAGTATAAACAGTAAGAATGAGGGCACTTATACTGAGATTCTGAATGATTCTTTAACATCAGGTTTAAATGCTGCAGCAGCACATCGCAGCAACAGCTTCCTGCTGATCACTGCTCAGCAAAAAGCTTCCATTTACATCCTGCTTGTTTTATTAGTTAAGGAAGAAAGCTTATTTAAAAAAGAACAAGAGGTGCTTTATGTTTGAGTTTTCCCCTGAAGTGTGAGTTAAGTAAATGTGAAGGTTGCCAGGGTGCTATCTTCTGAATCCAGAAACAATGTGAAGAAGAATTCAGGCCCTACTTTCTTCTTTCCCTCCAGTTTCTAGCTGCAGCCCTGAGATGAACTGAATTGCCCCCTCACCTCTACAATGGTGCCATTAATTGTGACCCAGTTTCGACAAACTAAATGGGAGCAAATACTGAACATACTCTTCATGCAAAGTTCAACGAACAAGAATGTCATTGTCAGGTCGTTGTTATTGCAAATACTGCTCTGGCTGGTTAGAGGCCGACACCTACTTTGCATTTGTACAATCCCAGTGTTTTGCATGAACATTTGCTTTTTCATACACTGGCTGCTGTCTAATGAGAGGACACACACACAAGGACTGTATGTGGCCTTCAGCAGGACATGTGTATTCGTTGGCTCCAGTCTGTCTGTGGTGTCATTTCCTTTTTCTGGCCACGCTGAATACAAACAGTCTGCAACTCCAAAGAGGCAAAGAAGTCTCTGTAGCAACTATCAGCTTAGTTTACTATCCTATATTCGGATATGCAATCTTTTATTCTTGTGTTCAGTTAAAACTGGTAATACATTTAAGGGTTTTAACCTTTCTTTCCTCATAACAAGGAAAGTTCACTGCTTTAAAACAATAAAGCATAATAATGATTACATCTGAGGCCAGAAATAACCCACACAGCGGTGGTGGAAAGGAGTGGGAGTGTGGTGCAGAGGAGGATTGTGGGAGTTGATTTAGTAGACAAAGAGGTCTGTGCAAGACAACTCTAATCTGACCCAAGAGGAATAATGGGAGTAATTGCACCGTCTTTGGAGCACAGCAGCCTCCATCGGGCTGACTGGCTGGTCCTGGGGGTCATGTGATGAAAGAGTTGGGCTGGTCAGTCAGACTACGCTGAGTTCAAAAGTGTTCAACACTACAGCAATGACATTAACTTAAAGAACTACAAAAAAACAACCAACTTATTTTCTTATGTATTTTGTGACTGTCCTCTATTTTTGTCAGGTATACACTGGGCAGTATTGACTGTAGGCCACATCTAAGGCCACTTTAACATTTAATAGCTTGACTGGATATGTACTGCAGATATCTGTAATTCAGTTCCTCCTATAATAAAGAACATTTCAGATATCCACAATGTCATTCTTCCAAGGACTAATGACATCACTTGTACCATTCATATGTATTAGGTTTCTCATTACAGATATCTACAATTCAACTGCAGCTAGTATGAATTGCAGATATCTGCAGCTGAATCATGTGACTCATGACAGGTATCCTCAGTCATAACTGTAGTTCAATATATCCATTTTTTTCTTGAATTTAATTTGATAGTGAATGTTGTGTTTTTATGCATGTGGATGAACCTTTAATAGAGATGCCTTAGCTTTGCAGGTAAGCAGTGGTACAGACTTTAAATAATGCTGGTAACATTCATAATGTGGAGACGGCATCACATTTCTTTGTTACAACTATGATGTCACTACTGGTCAGTTTTTAAGCCGAGTTATTTGGTTTGAATCACCCACATCTATGTTTTGTTTTGTTTTTATAAATCAGCAGAAACAGACTTGTTCTTCCTGGATAATCTACAGACATCAGTATCATCAGTTTTGAGTTTGGATATCTCAGTAATAGCATAAAATTTGGCAAATAGAACCATGTGGTTAAAGCCAAGTATGAAAAATTAAGAAAAATGCTGCTCAGAAAAATTAAGGGAGCACTTAATCATCACAATATAACATCAATTTAACTAAACTTCTGGGGTATTGATCTGTTTAGTAAGGAAGTAATTGTGAATCCTCCCCTCAGTGGGTTAATCATTTTGTTTTCCACTGTTCAATCACTGATATACGTTGTGTAATTTATTGAGAACAAAATGACGTAACAATGAAGTGTTCCCCTTAATTTTTTGAGCACTGTATGTCTGTTTTGTATTTCAACGTTGGGTAAACAAACTCTTGAGAAAAGTCTCTGTACAGAACCGTGAGAACAGCAGCAATCTGCTGAGCAAAGGGGGAATCTCTGACATCTGACCTCTGTGGATGAACCAGGAAGTAGGAGAAGACAAACTGGGATATGACAGCTGTGACCAGTTAAGATTTCCTGGATTTAACGTTACACATCCTTAACTCTTCTGAGAGAATCCAACTATCCACACAGACACTGACCTCCTGAATATGCTTCTTTTTGTTTTAAATTCTGATGGGTTTGGTTTTTGAAGCTTTGATGAATCATTTCACACATTATGCACACACGTTTGTGTTTTAGGGATGTGACAAAGCATCAGTGACAGGCAGGCGGCTGCTGAAGTGTGTCAAAATGCATCCTAGTTCATGACTTATGCCCCCACTTCCCATTTTATTACCTTCTCTAGGCTGACTATCAGGGGTTTTCCACTGCTCAGGGTAATCCATGTTAGCCAGAGCCTGTGTGATCTTCTCATCCAGCAGCCTCAGACCACCTTCATCGCCTGAATTTCGTCCGAGCTGCACCTCCTTCTCATTGTGGCCCGACTGTCCAGTGCAGAGCTCCTCATCAGCTGCCTGCACCCACATAGCAAACCTCTCCAGGACTTCCATGTAGCTCTGGGGGCCAAGCTGGTCCCTGTTTGCACTTAAGTACTCTGCTGCTTCCTGGGCGATGTCCCTAAGGTATTCAAGAGATGCTTCACTCTCACATGGCCCCACTTGGTCTTGTATGCAAATGTAACATGTGACAGAGACACGCTCCACGAGGTCATGGCCTGTGGGGAAAAAAAAAACATGAAATATCTCAATGACAGGCAAAAAGTGTGAATGATACTGAGTTGACTGAGAGACTTACCTGGAACAGTGAAGCAAAGAGTCAGGCCGTCATCGCCTCTTTTTGCTGTTGTCACATGTGTAAGTCTGGAGCCTTGCACAACAACATAAAACTCTGCACTTTCAGGAGCTCTGGCTTGTAATCTCGCATGGGCCTCCACTTGTCCCTGAGATGAGAGAAATGAAATCTGTTCACAATGTAATCCAAAACATATGATTTATGGCGGAACTGAGGCATCGTCTATCACTCACATTTTTCAGTACACCGATGCTGTTACAGCTGAGCAAACACCTTTTGCTTAAGGAAGAGGAAATGGGTGATTTCTCGTCAAACTGCGGTAACTTTAGTTTCAATATCACCAAGGTCACTGTACTCATTGTACAGAGTAGCAGCGAGGGGGAAAGAAGAAGGAAGAAGAACAGCTTTTTTCTCACACTGGGAACGAGCTGCACTCTGCAGTGTCTTCTTTACAACCCACCATCACAAAAGATTCATTATTGTTTTTAATTCATTGACCCTGTTTTTTAATTGACGTCATCAACACCTCTTTTTTTTTTCCAGTATCCCAAAAATCCTCACCATTGTCATGAGTGTCTGCAGGCCACTGAGGACAGAAGCAGAAACATTTGATTACACAGACGCTCATGCTGGCAGCAGCCAAGAGGTGGCCACACAACTAACAGGGAAGCTGTTAGAGGTCCTCAGAACTGAACTTACATCCAGTAACTACTATTTATCCCACAGAACTTCCACGCAGAACCACTTCTCTATTGCTGTTGTTCTCACACAGATGCTAAATTCACTCTGACTTTGTAGAAATAAAAAAATGCTGCATTATTGTGCATGATTCTATTAGTTAGTGTGAATGATTTAAGTTTGGCAATGGATTTAGCTGAAGCTCTTCTACGGACTCTTAAAGACTGTAGGGATGAAATCTACTTTAAAGAGCTCAAGATGAAGACGTAAAAACTGCAGAACAATGCAAGACTGACTCAGAATCTGCAGCAAAAAGAGAAAAAAATGCCATGGTGTCCAACTTGTCTCAACTAGCTGGGTCTTCTTTTGACGTAGGTGTCTTACATGTGTCTTGCTTGTCTTACTGTCTACTTATCTTGCGTAATTTAAATCATAATACAGTCGTGACTCGATAATCCGACACNGTCACATGTGTAAGTCTGGAGCCTTGCACAACAACATAAAACTCTGCATTTTCAGGAGCTCTGGCTTGTAATCTCGCATGGGCCTCCACTTGTCCCTGAGATGAGAGAAATGAAATCTGTTCACAATGTAATCCAAAACATATGATTTATGGCGGAACTGAGGCATCGTCTATCACTCACATTTTTCAGTACACCGATGCTGTTACAGCTGAGCAAACACCTTTTGCTTAAGGAAGAGGAAATGGGTGATTTCTCGTCAAACTGCGGTAACTTTAGTTTCAATATCACCAAGGTCACTGTACTCATTGTACAGAGTAGCAGCGAGGGGGAAAGAAGAAGGAAGAAGAACAGCTTTTTTCTCACACTGGGAACGAGCTGCACTCTGCAGTGTCTTCTTTACAACCCACCATCACAAAAGATTCTTTATTTTTTTTAATTCATTGACCCTGTTTTTTAATTGACGTCATCAACGCCTCTTTTTTTTTTCCAGTATCCCAAAAATCCTCACCATTGTTATGAGTGTCTGCAGGCCACTGAGGACAGCAGCAGAAACATTTGATTACACAGACGCTCATGCTGGCAGCAGCCAAGAGGTGGCCACACAACTAACAGGGAAGCTGTTAGAGGACCTCAGAACTGAACTTACATCCAGTAACTACTATTTTTTCCACAGAACTTCCATGCAGAACCACTTCTCTATTGCTGTTGTTCCCACACAGATGCCAAGTTCACTCTGACTTCGTAGAAATAAAAAAATGCTGCATTATTGTGCATGATTCTATTAGTTAGTGTGAATGATTTAAGTTTGGCAATGGATTTAGCTGAAGCTCTTCTATGGACTCTTAAAGACTGTAGGGATGAAATCTACTTTAAAGAGCTCAAGATGAAGACATAAAAACTGCAGAACAATGCAAGACTGACTCAGAATCTGCAGCAAAAAGAGAAAAAAATGCCATGGTGTCCAACTTGTCTCAACTAGCTGGGTCTTCTTTTGACGTAGGTGTCTTACATGTGTCTTACTTGTCTTACATCTACTTATCTTGTGTAATTTAAATCATAATACAGTCGTGACTCGATAATCCGACAC